CACATGAAATCTTATAGACTTTCAAAGGTCCAGAACTCACGATACTAGTTTTGAGTTCCAGAAATCTTAAACTTGCCTAAAATTTCCAAAACTTCAAAAAATTTGACAAATTGCAAACATTCCAAAAATTCCAAAAATTCCAACATGGTGGCGGTGGTGGTGTTTGAAAAAAAATCCAACAATTCAAAAAAATCCAAAAATCCAAAAAAATCCAAAGATCCAAAAATTCAAAAAACTCCAAAAATTCCGAAAGAGGTTTTGGAATTTCAGAATTTCGCAATCCAAAACCTAAATATGAAATTTTTCGAATTTTTGGATTATTTGGAATTTTCGGAATTTCTTGGAATTTGAAAAATCAGTACGGTGGGCAACAGTCCTGTCCAGGAGGTGTTTTTTGTGGCGAGAACCAAAAACCGGTAGCCAATCGCCGGGCTGACGCAGCCCCCGCCGCCAGAGCACCGGGGCACGGGAAACCAGTTGGTGCTGTACATGGTTGGGGTTCACACCATGGGCGCCCAAGCTGGCAAGTCCCAACGTGGGCCTGAGTGCAGCCTGATTTCACGGCAGCTTGGGCCAACTCGTGGATGACCTTGGCAGAAATGCCACCCAAACACCACAGCCCCACTGCAAGTGGTGATTTTGGCCGAATCTCACGACAGGAAGCAACTGGCTCGTCTGTTGCCTTGTTTTTCCTCCCTGACATGGCTTCGCGCCTGGAACCTGGCTTGAGACATGAAGCTGCAAAAAATGGAGTTGAAAGCTCAACGTGAGATGAAGGATCGAAGGAAGCTTTGCAGACGAGGCGAAATTGACATTTTATTCCCGGTTGCAAGCTAGCTTTTTTGCGTTTGCTCTTGAAACCAGCCCCCGCTTGGCCGCCTAAGAGGCTGGAAAGGTTTAAAACCTCCACACTGCCTGTCCAGGGCTGTAGGCCGACAGCAGCTTGGAAAACTTATTGGCCTGGACCTACGTGAAGACTCGGATCAAAACTCCTGAAAGATACCGGCCGGGTACCAGACTTCTAGTTGTCGCTGGAACTCTGCAGGGCGGCGGTGCCATACCTACCTGTATGTTGCATATGTTGCTTGCCTGAGCCTATGCAGCCACCCTGAAGGGACAGCACTTAGGCTTTTTTGAGGGCAGAGGCGACGTCGCGACGTTCATCCTGAGCTTCTTGGAAGCTTGCAGGGTCGACACAGCCTCAATCAATCCGGGCTTAACCTCCTCAAGCTTGGCCTTCTTCTTGCCATCCAGACTTGCAAGGAGCCGCTTCAAGGCCTGGCATTGCTTGGTGAGGGACTTCAAGTAGTTGACCTTTTCGGCGAGTCTGCTGCCATTGACCTGGAGCTTGAGGCTTTGCAGCCTGGAGATGGATGGTAAATCGGTGCCATAACCCCATGGCTATCAAGCCAAGAGACCCCCGCAGCTCTTTGGCTCCGCACCCACTCCAACTTACTCGAAGGAAGGGGTCCACCCCCTCCGCACACCCTCGACAGGCTAAGGAAAGCTTGGGCGATAAAGATTGGCTTAAGTTGATGGAGCAAGGAGACCGATTGCTTTTCTGCAGCAGAGTGATGTCATGAGCTGGTGGGAACCTGGCCCCATGCTGGGTTACAGACGGGGGCCAAACTCTTGGCTGGCGTGAAACCATACACCAGGCCAAAACTCTCCCGTTCAAAGGGTCCAGCGGTTTCAAAGCACACGCGCCTTCAGTGTGCCTCTGCTTCGCAAGCTCAGACTGGGGCCGCGCACAGACCTTGCTGAGCTTTACACCTTCCACGCCAGTGGACGTTTAGCATCATTACTCTCCTGCCGAAGAACTTAAGGTCCGCAAGCTAAATCCCTGGTAGCCTGAGTGGCTACGCTTGGGGATGGCTAGCCTGAGGCTAGCGAAATCTCCAGGCTAACTGGGATTTGTGCCACATCTTTGAAAAGAGAGAGTCCGGTGTGCGAGTTTGGTTGTGCGAGCTCCGTGGTCGTCTCTCGGCTAGTACGTTACTCTAGCTAGTGTAACTACCTCCCGGAGGTGTGGGATGGTGGTGGGTTGGATTGGGGTGCACCTTTGGGAGCCATACCGGCCAAAGTTTCGTTGAAAGCTAGCCGCAGTTGGACTCCGGAGCGCTTTAGGCGGGGTGCAAAACTTTGTACGCCCGGTAGCTACTTTGTTTTCCTGGCCGGTGTTTATGTGGAAACTTGTTTTACTTTGTGAGCTCCCAATACTCTGAGACTGTGCGACCCTGCAGGCGTTTTGGTGTGAGTGAAAAGTAGCAAATTGACACAATCAAGGATCGCTTCATTGGTGTGTCTGCAGCCAAGCCATTCGCGATGATTCTGGAGGTCCGTGAGCACAACTCATTGGGTCCAAATGCTCCTTCTCCATTGCCATTGAGACCGAACATCTTTGCGATGTCATTGCGAAAGTCGAAGTGCGGTGCATTGCCGACAGGTGCGCAGACATTGTCGAGATCAGGGTTGTCAACGCCCAATTGGCTCAAGACCGCGTGGCATCCTTTCGCCGGTTGAAGTGATAGATTGGCTGATGATGCCGTTGCCCCAAGCTGATGACCGCACTGGCAACATTGCTGATGCAACGGAATCTATTCCGATTGATTGCTCACGCGAGTTGGCGTTGATCGTTCAGGTTGGCACCACTGTCGGCTTCGACAGCATTGCCCAACCTCCGTGTCCAAATGCCTGGCGAGTTTTCTGATTGGCATTGTACATGCAACTCTTGTTACGAGTGTACAGCTCACTGTTCGAAGGCTTTTCGATTTTGAGGGACTTGTGAAGATTGCAGCACAACTCCATTGGTTTGTTTAGCTGTGCATGCTACATTCTGAAATGATGTGAGATTGTGACAATTGCGCCATGTGCATTGTCAAGGGACCGTGAACCACATCATTTGTGGCATTTGCATATTCACCATTGGATGATTTTTCGGTCGACATTGGCTCAAGACTGGCTCACGCTGTGAAAACATTGAGTCCGAGAAAGTCCGGATTGCAAGGGATCTGATTGTGTTCTGAGCATTGCTATTGCACTGTCGTGTGTGTGCCTAGAATTGTACAGGTATTGGTGTCGAAACTGCTTATCAGGGGGTGTAATTTGAAGTACCCACCCTGCCCATCCTGGGGAAGGCAAGCCTGAGCCTAGCGGCATTCTCAAGGCAAAGTGCGAGTCGGCGAGTGCCGGGGATGGTGGTGGGTCGGATAGGACGCCAGTGCACCCGCCCTGCCCACCTTGGGGGAGGCCGAAAACTAGCGACATGTTTTAGGCTATGGTCGTCGGTCGGATTGCACATTTATATATATATATATGTACATTCTTTTTTTCTATGGTGCCCCCCCCCCCCCACATACCTCGTACCTACCCTTTTCCTGTGTTTCCTGATCAAGTCTCTCCCACACAGTCCTAAAGCCGCGAGATCGAGCTCTCACACACAGTCCCAAAGCCGCGAGATCGGGCTCTCCCGCACAGTCCCAAAGCCGCGAAATCGTGCTCCCCCACACAGTCCCAGAACCAGGAGCCCAATGTTTTGGATTAAAAACATTGAGACCTCTCAACACTCTCGCACGGCAGGATGCTCAAAACCATGAGAGGTCCCAATGTTTTGGCCCCCAATAGGTCCAAAACATTGGGACCTCTCCGCACTTTCGCATGCCAGGAGGCTCACAACAACGAAAAGTCCCAATGTTTTAGCCTCCAATAAGTCAAAAACATTGGGACGTCTCAGCACTTTCCAAGACCCCCAGAACATTGGTTTTATTTGTTTTATTGGGACCTTCTTTGGTTTTGTGCTCCTAAACCCTCAAAACATTGGGGGCCTCTCAGCACTTTCGCATGCCAGGATGCTCAAAACCATGAGGGTCCCAATGTTTTGGCCTCCAATAGGTCCAAAACATTGGGAACCTTTCCAGCACTTTCGCATGCTAGGATGCTCAAAACCATGAGAGGTCCTACTGTTTTAAGGTTTCGGAGCCCAAAGTCCTGTAAGGTCCCAATAAAACCAATAAAGCCACTGTTCTGGGGGTCTTGAAAGGGCAGGCCCAAGGACTTTCAGGACATTGGTTTTGATGGTGTTATTGGGACCTTCTATGGTGTTGTGCTCCTAAGCCTTCAAAACATTGGGGGCCCCTCCAGCACTTTCGCATGCCAGGATGCTCAAAACCATGACTTGCTAGGATGCTCAAAACCATGAGAGGTCCCAATGTTTCGGGCACCTATACGTCCAAAACATTGTGACCTCTTTGCACTTTCGCATGCCAAGATGCTCAAAGCCATGAGAGGTCCCAATGTGTTGAGCCCCTACATCCCCAAAACACCGAGACGTCTCCACACTTTCGCGCTCAAAGAAGTCGAAAACCATGAGAGTGTTCAATGTTTTGGGCCCCCATAAGCCCAAAACGTTGGGACGCTCCGCGCCTCTCTGTAATTGTGCTCTCCCATATAATTTTTACTAGCTAATTGATGTTGAGTGAATTCTGCGACTACGATCAACTATTGCACCAAGATAACAAGAAAGCTTCAGATTGGTATTCGTTTTACATTTCATGTTCACATAAGCCTGGTGGGGCCTGTACGCCGCCAAGCGGGCTGTGACCAGCTCTTCCGTCTCGCAGTCGTGTATAGCTCAGCAGGCAGAGGGGCTCTTGGGATACCGTAGCTTACTGAGTCCCTACCTGCATGTTTGTTCAGTTGCGGTTTGAGGGTCACAAGCACTTCAAGCCAGTTTGGATATGAGACTGTGATATCATGTGTCCGAAGCGTGGGCGCTGCTTCGAAATCGCCCGCTTCCCGCTCTTCACCGGGGGCGACGCATCATAAGCCTCATGCAATACTTTTTCATTATATAGCGCAACGTTCTTCCTGGTACCGAAATTTTGTCACTGTTCAATTTCAGTTTGCTTGAGCACTAAAATGCTTAAATGGCTTATTATCTGCACATTTCGTCAATAGGCAGTCATATGTAACATATACTGAACCTTGGTGTTTTCGTCATTCGACTGTCGGGCATCGTTGGCACATAGCACGTGTTCAGATACCGTATACATACATATTGAGCACTAAACCTCTATTTGGTGGATACTTGTTTGGTATTCGAGTAGTGATGGCTGCATGGTCGCGGGTATGTCGCTCATTGAAACTTCAATAATGAATGGTTTTGCTTAGCGTATAGCATTAACGTCGTATTCAGGCGGTGCATTACTTTTATAGGTTTGTACACGGGTTAAAGCTCATCTAAGCATTATCTTGATGCCCTTGATGTTCTGTGCGGAGTTTTTCTGCTTATAGTGTGTATAAGGCATATTAGCAAAAAGAAATTTGTAAGTATTCACTTTGTATGTGATGTTCACATACAGCTTTAGCAATGTTCCACTACTATGTGTTTCATTTCCTTGAGATCTCGCCCAACAGCTATTTCATCCTCCAAATATTTCACTACGATGTACGCAATATGCATACGGCATTCCAGGGGTTAGTCGCTAGTGAATACTTTTTGCGTAATTATATGTTTTTTGGTATGTCTTCTCAATGAAAGAAGTGGTAAGCACTACTGAAGAAACAGCTGCTTAGTTGTTCTACTGCACCGATTACTGGTGCCAGTTGAAATTGAATGTTACAATTTACAATTCATGAATGATATCTGAATGCTACATGCTGTGTGGTTTGAGCAGGAAGGCAGAACAACCTGAACCATTCAACAACAAATACTAATTTGATTTTAACTGGGCATTCGTTCTAACAGAAGCAATAGCAATGTATCGCCGATACTGTTTGACTGCGAAGCTGCAGGGGAATGGGTCTGACATCGAGCAGCACAAGGAAACATGCTAAGCGGCGGTCGCCAGCGCCTATAAATGCAGATGAAGTTCTGCAGCCGCAACACCCAATAGGTAGGTACGTGAGGGGGGTAGCATATGTATGTGTATATATATATATATATATTATATATTTATTTATATTTATTTATGTATTTATAAGGTATAAACTCATATCATATCATGTCATACCATCATTACTGGTCATTTCATGTCGCCTTAAAGCTTAGTTCTTGCGTACAGAGCTTGGGGATCTTGGAATGACGGTTCAAGGCTCCATAGGAGTCTTGGGCTTAGGGCTCGCACGGTGGAGTCGCCGTTCCGGGTGGAGCTTTCGCGTTCCTCCTTGCTGCTCTCAATGCGCCTGCAGGCGGAGGGTTTGAGGGAGCCGGTGAATTTCGAGGCCGCGTTCTTCTCGCCCAGCTCCTTTTCGGTGCTTCATGAAAGGGTCCTACCTAGCAAAGTCCACACACAGCTGTAGCAGCTGTGCCTCTTAGTTTTGTTGTCCCTGGAGAGGTGGTCTCGGCCGACGCGGCCCGGGCCTCAACGGGTCGAACTTCGCGGCTGCAGCCGCGGCGGGGCGCGCTCCTTTCCTTAGGAGACCGTGGAGTTCAAGATCCGGTGCCGCAATGGGAAGACGCTGCACGAGCGCAGCCGCTTCCAGAAGGCGCAATAAGGGCGACTGCGACTGCGATGCTCCGGGACGCCTGTCCAGGACCGCAAGTGGGGCTACGTCTACAGCGGCGATTCGGCCGCTCGCCTCAATCGCCTCAATCGCCTCAATCGCCTCAGCTCAGTCGCTCTTAGGCTCACACTCACACAGGCTCACACACTCTCAGGACTTCGCCGAATGGAAGTGAGCTCGCGGGCTGCCGCGGGCTCGCGGGAGTGTCCAATCCCTCTCCCCACACTAGGACTTTCAGCCATGGCGCCCTCAGCCCCGGCGATCCCTTGTTCGTGTTTCGGCGAGAGGATGTTCACGCGTCTTTTCACCCTTTTCATAGCAAATTTTCGTTCCGAGAACCGCCTCCGAGCCGAGAGAGAAAGGAGAAGCAGCAACACGCGTTGCGGCGTTTTTTCGCGCCCAAAGCTGCTTCGGTCGAAGCCCCAAGCCCAAGCGCCCACAAGAGATCCTTCTAAGTCGTTCCCACTACGTAGTGAGATAGATACATGGATGGCGGGAGACTTCTTTCTTGAATTCTTGCCCTTCGTCCGCTGATCAGCTGCAGTTTGCATCCTCTTCGATGGAGCTGTAGCGCAATTGAAGACATGATCTAGCTGCGCGTCGAGAATTCTTAGATCCCGTGGCCGGAGCATGCAATAGCTTGGTGACGTGTGGTTGTTTTTTAAGCGCCATGGCCGGTTCAGCGGCTTTTGAGAAAGGACGAGGCCGAGGCCGGGGTTGCAGGGACAGCTTTCGTTTTTGCAACGCTGCGTTGTCGCACCCAGGTCTTTTGACGACGTCTTGCAGCCAAAGAGCAGGAGTGGGAGGAGTGGGAGCGACGGCTCTGGCTTTGGTTCGGGCGCATCTGCAAAAGCGCCTGGGCTTCGGTCCGTACTAGCCCTCGCCGTAAGCGGGCTTTAGAACTGAGACAGGCTGAGTCTCGGCCCAACAGCAGCAATTTGTTCTTCGAAGAGCTCCGAAGAAGCCTTGGCAGCTTTCTCCCGAAGGCGCCTCTGGTCACGTGAAGCCACAATCAGCGCTTCTGAGGACTTCGGCACCTCAGGGGCAGAAGCTCCTCGCGATTCCCCGTGTGACCAGCTGACTTCGTCCTTCACGTGTCTACTCGGCTTCCGCCTGGGAGTTTCAAGTCCTGTCGCGGGCTGGACGGCATGACGACAGGCCACTGCCTCAACTTGGCGACTGACCAAAGCTTCAGTCATTCAGTCTAGTTTCCCCACTGTTCCGAACTGCCTCGTTGCCGCTTTCCATGGCGTCCCCACGGTTACGGGCGCTGTGGGCCCTGGCGCAGCCGGCTGCCATCAAACGGAGTTTCGAGGAAGGTGCAGCACGTTTCTTTGCATTAGAAGATTGACCAGAATTTAAACGGTGTAGGGCAACATGCGGCCTACCTGCCGCTCATTCTCACAGATTGAAACGCTATGTAAGGGTTGCGAATGCCGTGACTTTTGCGGTCAAAGCATGGGTGTGAAGGCGGCGAGCGGCGGTGTTGGGCTTTGGGGCCCTCCCCAGGAGGACACCCCGGTCTCAGAGGGGGCAGACAGGGCCAGGGAATGCGGGCGGTGGACCTTGGCGCCAGGGCCAAAGCCGGTTATATAAGGATATAAGGCCTTGCGATCGGACCACAGCCAGGGGCAAAGCCTGAGCTCAGTGTGTGCAGCATGCAAGTGAGCCTAGTGTCAGTTGGGCCATAGCGGCTGCGCCGTAGCAGCCGTAGCCTTGCCGCTTCTGGCACTGTAAAGAGGCCAAACAGGCCATCAGAGAAGCCCTCAAGGTCTGAGCTAGGCACGAACGGCTGTAGCCGCTTTAGCCTCAATCTCCCGATGCCGAAGACTCAGCATATAACATGCCAAGGCTGCAAGCATTTGCTGAGGTGACGTCGGCGTCGGCAAGTTGGAACGACACCGCATGCTAGTTTTCACGTTGCTTGCGAGCGGCTGTCGCTTCTCAGCCTCAAAGCCTGGGGCCTTCAAGCTCTTAAGACAGGCTTCGCAAGAGTTCTCTGAGGCTCTGGGGTTCAAGTTGACGCTCTAGAGAGCTCCGAGCTCTCTTTTCACCAAAGGGGCGGTGCGCGCTTGGACCAGCACGGGCCTCAGGGGTTCTTTCTGCCCTAGGACCACTTGCGCAACAAGATCCGCCCTTCAGATGCAGCCCAAGTGATCTGAAGCAATCGGTTCAGCTGGGGAGGTTGTCGTCACGAGACGGTTTCCTGTTGATCGAACATGTCGTGGCTTTGTGCGGCAAGCGCATCGAGCCCGATGCGCGCTAGACTTGTGATCTGATGTACAGATGCTCATCACTGACTTTCATGTAGCTGTGACGACGACGTCGATAAGGGCACACTGGGCCCGGGACCTTGCAAGCAAGTCATGCCTGAGTCCAGAAGGTCCCTCTCGCCCTCTTGCAATTAACCAGATCCAGTTGCACCCTAGTCCTATATTCTTGGGAACCCCGAGACTTGCATTAGACCCATTTGGCCTCTGGACACCAGCGCTCCCGCGCTCCTTCAAACGATTTTTGAAACTTGCAATTAAGCCCAGCGCAGTCCTTTTGGGAGTGGAGAAGCACGCGTCTCTCGGCTGATGGCTGAGACGTGCTAATAGTCTCACAGGTCACAACCTCCCTGCGACAGAAGAGCTGTTGACGCTTCCGCCGCTTCCGCTGCCGAAGCACAGGTTTGTGCCCCCTGCTAGGCCTGGAAGACTCTGAGAGTCTAAGGCACTAAGGAATCGGATGGAAGGATGACGAAGGCGACGTTTTCCCATTCCCGGTGCGCTGGGCCCGTTGGGGCGGTGTTTTGAGTGGCGCAGACTCGGGGCTCTGGGCGCAGAAAACTCTGCCTTTCTGTTCCTAGAGCTGCCTGAGTTGTTGTGGAAGCCACCTTTCTTTGTGAGTCCTTCCGCTGCGATCGTGCATAAATCAAATTCACGAAGCAAAATATGAATCTTGGCTTGAAGCTTTAAACTGGATCAATTTTGGACATAACATTATTGTGAAAAATGCCAAGCCTGTGCCAAGCCGATAGCCTTTTTCGCCTTGAATGATGCAGACTCCGTACAGTCGCGAGTCTGATTTGAAGGAAACATCTCTCCTTTTCCTCAGCTGAAGCCTCGGCAGGGATGCCGAGACAGAACATAGAGACCTGGTGTTTGGCCCGGCCCCCCCGGCCCCATGCAGGCCCATGCATTCTCAGAGACCGAGGGCTGACCTGCTTTTAAGGACCTGGGCACAAGAGGCCTCCAAAACGGCACCCCTTTCACAGCCCGTGCCGCGCTGAAGCGCCCTCGTGGAAGGCAGCAGCGGCGTCTCTTTCAGAATCGGCGAGGGTGAAGCAGGCCGGCCGCTCTAGTGGCGCAGGCACCTTGAGGCCGAGGCTGTCGGCATAAGTTTCCTGTAGCGACGGTGTGAGCATGAGCAGGAGCGTGAGAACCAGCCGCAGCGATCCCGTCAACTGCCAGTCGCAAAGATCGCACGGCCCGGTCCGAGTCGATGCCGGCTGTCAGTGACACAGAGAAAGCACAGAATGGACCGAAAGGTGTTCGGCCGAGGCGCGGCCACCCCTGGCCCTCCCCCAAAATCCCTTTAAAGCTCGCTAAGGCCTTCAAGCTGAAAAACCTCGAAGCAAACGGCTCTGTCAGCCGCCGCGATTGATATGACAAGAATCACTCGGCGATCCTCGATCGATTCTCAGTGGTCGTGGAACAGATAGAATGCGCTTGTTCGTCCCTGAGTAGGCCCCCAAAGAGTTGCAGTGCCAAGGACGCTATTTTATTCTGCCCGTGCTCGGACAGTGGTCTCTGACACCCGAAGCCGCTTGAGGTTTTTCAAGTGTCAGTCTCTTGGAAACAAGTTTGTTCGGTCGTGAAATTCTTTCTCAGCTTTGAACCTATGGCCGAAATCGCTCCGCAGATGTCGTGTCGCCCTTTAGCTGAGCGGATGAGCGGGCGTACGGCGGGGCCAGTGTCTGCCCAGCAGGCCTACGCTTAGGCGGCTTTTCCCTCTGAGGAGTTTGCGCCATAGCATTTTTGTTTTTACAATTGGCTAGAGGGTCGCCCCACCGGAAGGCTTAAGCAAGGCTGAAGCAGTGTTATAGAGAAGCTCGACGGGCAACTCGCGCCAGACCAAGAAGACGGCATCTTCACATGGGGTGATTCGTAGCTGCAGAGCTCAGGGCTCAAGGCTGTGTATATAGCGCAATCCCAGTCAGACCAGCCACTCTGAGCGCCGACCCGCACGGCTCACTGGCGCACTTCTCTGCAAGCTCTGCAAGTCTTCCGCCCGCGGCTCCCAAACTGCCGGCATGCACATGGCGCACGTGCGGCATGTCCTGCAGCGCAGGACCCTGCCACATGCACCGGGGCCGGCTGCGTTAGCACGACTCGGACTGGACATCATGTGGCCCTTGCTCAGGGGAAGTCGGTCCTGACTTGCCAGGTCTTTGTCGAGACGAGTCTGACTAGGCTGGGCTGTTTGAAAAGGCCGGGCGCCAGGCGCTTTTTCAGGCCGGGTTCCAGCCTGAGT